GCTTTGGAACACTTGCCCCAGCAGGGCAGCTGCGGGTGTGAGGCCTGAGGGCCAAGAGGCCACAGGAAACAGAAGCTGACGAGACAAGGAGACAAGGGACACAAGAAGCCGAGCCACCTGAGTGTCAAAAGGTACGGCCATGACCTCAGGGGTTTCACAGTGTGGAGCCATGGCCTCTGGTGCTTCTAAGGGTGGAGTTGTCACTCAGATGGACTAGGAGAATGGTGCACCTAAAGCCGAGGGAGCAGAGTTGCTGTCCCAGTGGGCCTGGAAGGCAGAGCTGAAGCCCAGGGCCGAGGGGCCTCCACTCAAAATCCAGAGACTGTGGCCAATACCTAGAGTCTGGAGGGCAGGGCCATTCTGTAAATTGTCTCAGAGAACAGAGGATTATTTTCAAAGCCCTGAGGGTTAATGTAATGTGTTCTGCTGACTTGCTTGGTGCCTGTTATCACTTCTTTCCCTCTAGTTTCTCCCATTTGTAATGGAAATGTCTAGCTTGTGCCTGTTCTGCCATTGTACCTTTGGAAGCAAATAACTTGTATTCTAGATTTCACAGATGAAGAGAAATTTTTGGATTTTGGACATGGAGTTAAGACTTTTACTATGATATGATGGGGTGAATATGTTTTCCATGTTGCAAGGATGTGATTTTTGGGGGCTCAAAGGGTGGAAGGTCATGGTTTGAATTATGTCCCCCCAAAAATGTATCAATTTGTCTGGGCCATGATTCCCAGAATTGTGTGGTTGGCCTCCATTTTGTGATTGTAGTTTTATTTTCAAGAGGATTATGGTAGGATTGTCACATCACCCTTACCCACGTCACATCCCTGATCCTATGTAAAGGGAGTTTCCCTGGGGTGTGGCCTGCACCACCTTTTCTCTCTCAAGAGATAAAAGGAAAGGGAAGTAAGCAGAGAATTGGGGACCTCATACCATCAAGAAAGCAGTGCCGGGAGCAGAGCGCATCCTTTGGACCGGGGTCCCTGTGCAGAGAAGCTCCTAGTCTGGGGGAACACTGAAGAGAAGAAGGCCGACAGAGAGAAAAAGACTTCCCCTGGGGCTGACACCCTGAATTTGGACTTTCAGCCTACTTTGATTGTGAGGAAATAAACTTCTCTTTGTTAAAACCAAAAAAAAAAGGGGGGGGGAGTAGGATGTTAGTTTTCTGTTTCGGAACTCAGTAATAACTTCTGATTTTTATTTTTAAAATGACTCTTATATTACCCGGAAACAGGTTACATCCAAACGTGTGTGAATATCAACCTCAGTCTCTTAAAAGGTTTCCATATTTTTTTTTAACTTCAGAAAATTTTTTAAATTGAATATATCTTGCTTTGAAGAAACATTTATCTGAAAATCAGCAATCCTTCAGTTTCTGCTTAGCTTCTTTTTCTTCTGTGAACTCAGGCAAAATCAAATTGATTACTTCTTCATTTAAAAAAAGCTGAATAAAATGAACAAAAGGGAGTAAAACCAGGCCAGGCTCCTCTGGTTCCGCAACATGCGGGGCTGGGCTAACAAGGACCAGGCTACTGTTACAAGCACACAGGATTTGCAAGATAAAATGTAACATACAATTGCACAACTATATATAACTGTGTATATATGATTATAACCGTGTATATGCATACATATAACTGTATATATAATTCATATAACACAAAACACAGCTGATCTTGAGAGCGAGACAGGAAACAAAGCAGGAAACAGTCCTGGGAGCGGGTACCCTGTGAGCAGCCGAGCATGGGTCTGGGGTAGAGAGGGACGTACGCCCCAGCTCAGACCCCGGAAGCTCAGCTTTAGTGTCTGTATTGGCAAAGGGATGTGGCCTTGGGCTCCCGGGCTAGCCAGGTCACCGTCTGTGCTCTCCACCTACACCTACGGACAGGCAGTGGGAAGATGTATTGAGCATCCCCGCGGGCATAACGAGGAGCAGCAGGACCGCCCTGGGGACATAACGAGGAGCAGCAGGACCGCCCTGAGTAAGAAGCGCCCACAGCCACTCGGAAACCAGGGCCTCTGCACCCACCCTGAGACAGGGCTGCCATTAACCTGGGTGCCACTGCAGTCACGAGGGGCTGAGACTGTGTGCAGATGCCAGCAAGGTGCTGTACTCATTTTCTTCCTCACAACCGTCCACCCAGGAGGCTCAGGAGGCATCCAGGCAACCAGAAGGACCCAGACCTGGTCTTTCTTGGGAACCAGTGAAGGCCGCCAACTCTCAGGGCTCCACCCAAAGGACAAGGAGCTCCTCCCTTCCTGACAAGTCCCCGACCCCAGGCCGCACTGGACATGCTCAGTGATTCCAGGAAACCACTCAGTGGCACCACTCTGCTGGGGGTCAACCACCGCCCCAGCCCCTCCTTCCACCTCCTCCTCCCCTCTCCTAAGCACAGGCAATCCCAGACAATCTCTAACTGGTCTCCCAGCGTTATTTTACCTGTTCATTCTACAGCGTGACTGTCAAAGCACTATCTCTAAACAATCTGACTCGGTCTCCCTTTGTGTAAGACTCATCCATACCTCTAAGGGCTAAAGGACAAATCCCAACTTCTGAGAGTGACGTTTGAGGCTCGTCTTGATCTGATTACTGCCTCCCTCCATCAGAAAGAGAACTACTCTCAAGCTGGTATCACGAGAGGGTCCCGGTACATCTTTCTGGAATGAACAATCCCAAATCCCCCCCGGCCCCTGCCCATCGAGCACCGAAAGACCTCTCCTGCTCCTGCTGTCAGAGGGCACCTACTCTGCCTCCTGGCAGCACCGCCCCAGAAAAGGACCCAGAATTTATAGCCTGAGCAGGGAACAGTTCTCCCAGGCAGCCTGCACAAACACCATGGTCTACAGAATACAGAAGCAGCTTGGGGGATCTGGGATCTGAGCTGATCCAGGACCTTCCAATGGCTTCCTGTCACTTCCAAAATGCTAGACCTAGACCCCTCCAGCCTCCTCAGCGTCACCTCCTACCACCCTCCCCTCACTCACTTCACTCCAGCCATTCCCTGGCCATCACGCACTCTCCCACCTCAGGGCCTTTGCACTTACTGTTCTTTCTAGAGTGCTCTCCTGACTACCCTCTCTAAAGCAGCAGTCACTATCAGTCTCCGCCTCCTTGCTGTGCTCCACTTCTTTACAGCACTCCTCACTATACGACACGCACACGTGTGTACCTGTGTTTTGTTTATTCTGACTCCCTGTGAGGTGCCTGGTGAATCCAGGGCCAGTCTGAGAACAACCATGGTCCCCACGGACAAACGCCTTCTTTGTTTGGAACTGCACCTGGGTCAGGGGAGCTGTAGGGTGGACAAAGCCTTGGGCCTAAATGACAATGAGACAGACGTGGCAGCTTCAGGTTGACAGTGAGATCTACACAGCCCGGGCCTCTCACCTTCAACAGCCGAGCTGTCCTGGAGTAGCTGCCAGGCCTGCGATGAGGAGAAGATCCTGAACCTGCTCTAGCCCTGCCTTGTGTCCCTCTGCACCACACCATACCAGCTGCTGTCAGGTCCATTCCAACTCACGACAACCCCATGTGTGTCAGAATAGAACTGTGCTCCACAAGGTTTTCAATGGTTGGTTTTTCACAGGCAGATTGCCAGGCCTCTCTTCCAAGGCACCTCTGGGTGGACTCAAGCTTCAGTCCTTTCGGTTAGCAGCCCAGCACTCTAACCATCTGCAGCACCCAGCAGAAGGTTTCCTCCGCCAGGGCCAGGCCTGTGTCTGCCTCCCTCCCGGGCACCTGGTAAGTATGCAGCATCAGTTGAATGAATGAATGGAGCTTCAGCCTTCTCAGCTCTGCCCTCTCTCTGTTATCACCTCCAGGCCCCTTCCAGGTGGGCAAGAACTCATCACTGTAACTCCAGGAGGGGCTGGAGCCATGTTTACGGACTTGCGGAGAAATGGAGCAACCCCATCCCCCCAACGTCTCCCCTAAGAGGGACGCTGTGATTAATGGCAGTATCAAGACACTGTTAGACTGTTGCATTTATAATAGGGACAAAAGTCCCATCTCTGTGGATAAGAAGCAAGGGAAGGCATAGGAAAGATGAGCATCACTCGGATCCTCGGTGAGCAAAAGACAGTGACTTCTCTCATTCATCGGGTCTGGGCCTCGGGGAAAAAGCACCCAAGCGAACGGCAGGGTGATGATACACTGTGTGCAGACAGACTGCCGAGCTCGAAGCCTGCCTCTCTCTGTGGCTCCCCAGGTCCCTGACAGCGGTCCCGACATGGCACAAAGACCTCTCCAGGGGAAAGGGGCCTCAGGAAAGAGCGAGGACAACGCAGCCAGCCCACCTCTCCCCATCTGGGGATTCCGCCGCAGGCCCAAGTCTGGGATGCTTTGGAGTAAATTCTGTTTATCACATTGGCAAGCGGGGTTGCTCCCTCTCCACCCCAGCACATCAAAAGGTGTCGCTCCACATCTCAGCCATTTTCTCAGCATCATTTGGGGACATCCCTCGGGCTCTAAGCAGAGGAAGCAGGGCTACAGTGAATGGCAGCGATGCTCACACCTAATCCTCCCACCTCACCAAAAAAAAAAAACCACCTGGGGCAGGCCACCTCAAAGAGGCTCATACGGCCTTGGAATTCCAGCACAGAAGTTTAAGCTAGAAGCTCTAGGGCTTGGGTGTGTAGCCCCTGGGAACCAGGAAAAGGGACGGAGGTCATAGGGAAAAGCACCGAGAGAACAGAACTAGGTATTTACCCCATGAAGTTCCTGGGGGAGACACCCCAGGATCGGATCCCAGACGGGGCTCCCTGGAGAGAGACGCCTCAGGGGCACGGCCGTGACTGCTGGTAGGCAGATGGCTCACGAGGCCCAGGTCCTGGACACCCACGCGGGGCGGCCGCGGGCCGAGCCCAACTGCGGCGCCCGCAGACGCCCGCGCCTCCCGGCCCTCTCGGCGGACTCTGTCCCTGCCCGGCCGCCAGACCTGAGGCCACCGGGGCCCGGGGCCAAAGCGCTGCCCGCACCCGGATCGGAACGCGCCACTCACCCGGCGCCCAGCGGCAAGAGACGGCGCGGGCCCGGCCCCGCGGGCCCCGCGACGAGAGACGCCGGCCGCCGGCCCAGCAGCCTCACCGACAAAGCCCGCAGTCCACCCGCGCGCCAAGGCCGGAAGTGCGCCAGGCCCCGCCCCGGGAACCTCCGGTGCCGCTCTAGGACAGCCGGAGGCCGGCCTCCTCTCGGTGGTGTGGAGTTCCGGCCTTGGGTACGGGGATCTTGGGAGTCCCCGCGGGAAAGGCCGCTAGAGGGTGTCCGCCCCGTAGGGCCAAGAAGGACGCGCCCGAGAAAGAGGAGCGGACGCCCCAGTGTGCAGCGAGCTAACAGCGGAGGCCAAGTCGGCGCGGAGAATCGTCCTCAGAGGATGGGGGGAAGGGGAAGACCCCTGGGAAGTTCAATAGAATACAAGTCTTCAAAATTTGCTCCTCCTACAGCCCCCAGACGACCGTGGAAAAGCTGCATACCTCTAAGCATGTTTTTCTCCTAAATATTAAAGAGTTGCAAAGAATTCAATTTCCGGTGAACTGTAAATACAGATATTCAAAACAAAACCATGAACAAACTACTGATGCCCGCCACAACTCGGAGAGGCGTTAAGCCCAGTGACAAAAGTGGTTCTCAAAGGTAATGATACATATGGATGCATTGCCTGCGTACGTCTCCCAAATTGGGAGTGTCACTAGAAGACAAGGAAATGGGCATGGACAAGAAAATCCACAGAGGCGCGGTCAGTGCTGAGCCTGTGGGCATTTGATCGTGGCCAGCTGCCCAGAGGACCCGGAGCTCGCCCCTGCGTCCTGGCACCTCTAGCGCCTTGTATATGGAAGGTGCAGACACATTTGCTGGGCAGAAGAGGGCGCGCCTGGGGTAGGAGCGAGGGGAAATGCATGATGAAGGTGACGACCAGAGACATCTGGTCTACAAGGGTCCCTACTTCAGGTCAGCCTGGCTTTAGGGTCTGCAGGCCTCTACGTTCTAAAGATAGGATTGCTGCTCTTGTTTCATGACTGGGCTTGCAGGTTAGACCTTCCAGATATTTCCAGCCACCTGCCCCAGAGTCTGTGTGTTCCCTGGTTGTGTGGCACCCGGCACTATTTTCTCGCTCGGCAGTGAACTTTCTACTCTGTCCCTCTCCATCCCAGTGCGCTGACTCCAGCTTCCCCTCACCTTGCTCCTTGTAAAGGACGTAACGGACTGGAGAGGGGACTCGGAATCTCAGGGGGTTCCTACACGGGAGCCACTGGCCGTGTGTGGCAATTTGAATTTAAACTAATAAAACGTACAATTCAGTATTTCAGTTGCACTAACCACATTTCAAGTGCTCAGCGGCTACATGTGGCTTGTGGCTACCATATTGGGCAGCACAGATACAGAATGTTTGCATCTGCAGGGAAAGTTCTACTGGATAGCCTTGCCTCAAAGCAAAGGTTGGCAGGTTGTGATGGTTAAGGTTGGGTGTCAACTTGGCTGCGGCATGATTCTCAGTGGTTTAGTCATTATGACGTAGTTTGGCAGCTATGTAATGATGTAAACACCTCCATGAGATGTGCTATAATGTAATCACCTCCGTGATGAGATCTGCTATGAGCAGCCAATCAGTTGAAAGGGAGTTTCATTGGGGGTGTGACCTACATCCAATGTATGTGGACTTTCTAGCAAATCTCGTTGGTTTTTGCTCATTCTGGATCCTGCAGCTGGCTCCTGTTCACCTGACCTCTGGTTCTTAGGACTTGAGCTAGTGGCTTACCTGCCCATCTTGGGATTCATCAGCCTCTGCAGCCTGTGAGGCAGAGATGTGCTGTTTGACCTACCAATCTTGGCTTTGCCAGCCCCTGCAGCTTGGTGAGTCAGGAAAAGCCTCCAGCCTGACCCATGGACTTGGGACTTTCCAGCCTCTACAACCACGAAAGCCGTTTCCTTGATATAAATTTCTCTCTGTGTGTATATGTTTATGAATGCATGCATACACTTCACTGGCTTTGCTTCTCTGGGGACCCCAGCCTGAGATGGCAGGTGTCTCTGCAAGGGGCCTCATCTAGGTGTTTTAGGTTTGGCAGGATGTGCAGCTTCGGTTTCTTGCAGAGGCAAAGGTTCCAGGATCAGGAAGCAAATCTGCTGCAAGCAGATCACGAGGAGTGACCGTGTCTGGACCCTTGTCCACTAGCTGTCGGGGACACCACCCCATTAGCAGCTGTTGACTTGACATGTACACACAGGTGAGGGCCACACCCTGGGCCTGCCGGGAATGCTGGCCTGTACAATGTCGTGGGGCTGGCTACTTCACAGATGCATGTATGGCGGCAGGTGGATCGCAAGGTCCTGCAGCACTGCGTCACTCATTCGCTATAAAATGGGACCCCTGGTCTACAGCAGTGATCGGTGGGCCCTGGACAGTGGTGCCAGCACAGGTGCTGTGGCAGGGAAGGAAAACCTGCATCTGGAGTTGTTGTCATTGTAGTCTAACATCACTGTCCCTGCCAGGGTGGAAGGTCGGGTTCGTGAACTGCCCACAGGCACTGGTCTGCCTCCCTGCAGGCAGCTCCACGTTGAGGGCTCGCTGTCTGCTCCTGATAGAAAGGCCGGGCGCTCAGGAGCTGTCACAGCTGCACCAGCCTTGGTGAGAGGGAGGCTGTGTGTGTTCTCTGCTGTCAGGCTATTCGGCCCAGGGGCTCATTGCTCAAGCCCAGGTGTGGCTGACACCAGGCTGGCTGACGTCCACAGGGCAGATGGCCCTGGGCCCCGGTGGCTGAGTGCCCCCTGCAGGGGTCTGCACCTTCGTTCATCACACGCCCCAGCCCCAGGCCTCTTCCCCTTGCTCTGCCATGGAGTCCACCGTATCCCCCACAATAAGACCAGCACCAGGGGGCTTCATGACCAGTATCCAGGCTGGCTTTCTGTGCCGATTATCAAACATGTGTGTGTCCGGATCCTCCCAGCGAGCTGGACAGTTCACCCTGGGCTTCCCTACCTTCCTTGGTAGAGCGTCCCGGATCTTCCCTGGGGTGGCACTTCCCTGGACACATTTACACTTTGAAAGTTACTCTTTTCAAGTGTATCCACAGTTTACTTTTACGATTGGTGTCTTCGTCTTTATTTGCAACATAGGTGGTTTCTAAACGCCTTTGAGACTCAGAAAGGCTAAATGGCGTCCGGCACATGACACAGATCTGTGGTCTGTGGACGGGAGCCCACGGGTCACAGAGTTCCGGTCATCATCCCGTTCCAGTGCCTGATTTTCAGGGCTAGCTTATTGGAAGGGGCTGGGGGTTCTCTCCTCTGAGACAGCTGAGCCCCTAGGGTTTTGAGGCCCCAAAGGCCTCGCTTGTTCCCTTGACATCAGTGTGTGCTGACATTTTCCGTCAGCCAGGCAACAGGAGAGCTCTAAGAGTGTGCCCTTTCTTTAAACTTTTCAGCTGGCTGCTCTGTCAAGAGTAAGCTTGCAGAGTATGACTGTTCTGTATACAAGAACGTTGAAAACTATCACACTAGGTGTTGGAGGTGGCTTCATGCAGCCAGCCAGGGCCTCCCCCTCTGTCCACTCACCTTCAGCTTCACTTTCTTGTTTAGGAACCATCTGTGGTGAAGTGCATCCCTCTATGTGCCCTTTCACCTTGGTTCTTTGGAAAAAACAGCTTGAAAGGTTTTCCCCTAGGCCCTGAGGAGCTACCTTTGCCCTAGTTTTCCACCCCAGAGGGCTTGATATTTTTGTCCAGGTGGATTGACATTTCCTGGGTAAGCTGTAAACAACTTGGTTTGATACTTTTTGTCTAGCCCTGGGCTGCAGCCTGCCCTGTGATTGGTGTGCAGCTTGCAGGGATTGGTCAATAGGCCTTGAGAATGAAGTTACTGTAGCCTACTATGCAAATGAAGTGTCTGTGGTCTACCAAGAGGGAATTGGTCAGTTTGTGGCTCCTCACTGGGAGGGGCCATGCCTTGAAACTGACAGGGAATTGTGTATATAGGCAGCCAACCCCACAGAGGTTTTTCAGACAGAAAGCAGCAAGAAGAGAAGCAGAAGGAAGAGAGAAGAAGCAGAGAGAGAGAGAGGAGGCAAGGAATCTTCTAGAAGAGCTGTAACAGGGGTCAACAGCTGTAACACTGAAGACAGCAACAGGCCCAGAAGAGGCCCAGTGGCAGAGCCTGGAAGGTGTCCTGTGGCACAGTCTGGTGGTGACAGATAGCAGGACAAAGAGGAGCCTGTTCTCAGGGGGCTGAGAGAAGACCTGCTTGGTCAAGAGGAGCTGAGAGAGCGGTCCTGCACTGAAAAAGGGAGACTTTGCCCACAGGCTTCTTGATCCTGAGTTGTACCCTGTTCCTTAATAAACCACTTACCTGTAAGTATGGTCTGTGAGTTCTGTGTGGCCATCGCAACAGACTGCGAACCCAGCAGAGAAGTAGACAGTGCCGTGGAGAGAACAGCTGGGTCCAAGCTGGTAACAGGTTGGAGAGTGAAGGTATGTCTGACCTCCACCTCAAAGGGATCAGCCTTGGGCCGATCTTGATTTGCCTTGTTCCCCTGAAGTTAAACAGGTTCTGATGACACTCTTGCTACCATTTCACATCATCCCTGCTTCTGTCACTCACAGTCACAACCATGGTCCTGGGACCACTGGGTCAGACGGGGAGAAAAGGAAAATTGAGGTGATGTGAGGAAGAATCACAGAGTAAAACCAGCATCCTCTCCTCACCCTTCCCCAGATCCACCAGAAAATCCGAGGAATCTGTCCAGTAGGGTCCCCTTTCGTTCCCCTCATGCTGAGTGTGGGCACACGCTCAGGAAGCCATGTAAGTCAACCACACAAACCAAAAACAAAAACAAACAGTAGCCGTCAAGTTGATTCCGACCCATGGCGACCCCGTGTGTATCAGATAGAGCTGCTCCATAGCATATTCAGGCTGTGACCTTTCGGAAGCAGATCGCCAGGCCTTTCTTTCGAGGTGCCTCTGCGTGGGTTGGAACTACCAACCTTTTGGCTAGTAGGTGAGCGCTTGACCGTTTGCACTACCCAGGGACTCTTGTTGTGCGCCATCGAGTGGATTCCAACTCACAGCGGGAGTAGAACCTCCCCATACAGTTTTCTAGGGTCTCTGTACGAGTCAGAATCCGCTCGACAGCAGTGGGTTTGGGTTTGGTTTGGAATCTCTACAGGAGCAGATCGCCAGGTCTTTTCTCCCATGGAGCGGCTGGTGGGTTCAAACCGCCGACCTTTTGTTTAGCAGCTGAGTGCTTAACCACTGCACCACCAGGGCTCTCCTTAGCCACTAAAACCAAAAAAAGCCCTAAACCCATTGCCATCAAGTTAATTCCGACTCATAGTGACCCTATAGGACAAAGTAGAACTGCCCCACAGGGTTTCCAAGGAGCAGCTGGTGGATTTGAACTGCTGACCTTTTAGTTAGCAGCCAAGCTCGTAACCACAAAAGCAGTTCTCCTTTACAAAGCAAAGACAGCGGTACACGTCACTGTCTTCCCTCTAGGCTAACAGCCTGCCTGTGCCCTGTGGTTTGTCGGGACTGTGATCATCTGAACGTCCTGCAGAACATTGTGCTGGTCTGACATGTGGACAGAATGTTCCTAACTGGATGTGATGAGCATGCCGGTAAATAGCCTGGGTGCCCTATGAAGCCATGTGTGGCAAAGGTGGGAGATTCAGTGACGTTTTAGAGGTGCAATGGTCTGGGCAGGCCAGGACATCCCTCTTGAGTAAGGGACACCTTTCTCCTACCACGAAGCAAGTGGCACCATCCTGGCGGGCCTCTCTGGGCTTGGGAGGCAATATATTCTATCTTTGGGAATACAGCTGGTCAGTTTGTTGGGCCCAGAATGTGAGAGGCTCAGTCACAGGCCCAGGCTGTGGTCCACACTGCTCTAGCCCTGTGGCCAGTGAGCATCTGGATTATGGAGTCTCTAATGAGCTCCAAATGAGAGCTCCTGTGCAGGCCTCTGGGCTCCTGGAGCAAGGCGAGACCTACTCTCCACTGAAAAACAGCTTCCAGAAGTCTGGGGGCTCCAGTAGTGACCCACCCTACTTGGGTATGACCTCGTTAGCATAACGAAAGAAAACCCTTATTTCCAAACAGTGTGATAGCCACAGGGACAGGGATTAGAACTTCGGCATGACTTTTTGGGGACACAATTCCATCCAGAACACCAGGGTACCCGTCGCAGCTCTGCCACTTACTAGCTGGGTGACTTTGGGACGTCGTCTCCTGTCTCTGAGCTTCAGTTTGCTCATCTGTACAAGGGGCGTGAGGCTGCCTAACTCACAGGAGGTAAGGACAGTTACAATGCAGAGGCATGCTGGCATGTACTCGGGGCTCATGACGTTGACTGAATTAGTGAAAGGGGTGAAGTAGACCATGTATATTTATGGGCAGAATCTTGGGAGACTCCATGTTTAGGAGAGGGCAAGGAGTGGAGGGGGAGAACAGCCCCACAGGGAGCCTCCCTGACCACAACCTCCTCCTCCTCCGTCTTGCTGGAACCTCACTCCCCACCTCCTGCAGAGTGCACTCCTCATTTAGTCTCAACATAGGTTTATGGCATGAGTGAATGGCCCCTTCTGGAAACCCTGCTCCCTGTTAACCAAGCCCCCACAGCCACCTCTCCTGGAGGAGGCTGCTCAGCTCCGCACCCTGATTTTGTGGGTCCGCTCCTCCTCCGCCGATTCACAAAAGGGCAGCTTTGCCTAGTTTGGCAAAGGCCCTCTATGGTAGCCTGGTTACGGAAAGGGCCCCAACTGTGCTCATGGTCTAGGAGGCACGGGGTATCTGTTAATGGTGATGGGAAATGCGACAACAGGTACTGGTGCTGGTTGCACAAGATGAACGTAATCAACGTCACTGAATTATACGTGTAAAACATCTTTTATTGGCAAATGTTTTGTAGATATATTTTTTCCACCACATGTCTATCAGTTTGTCATGCTGTGGTGGCTTGCGTATTGCTGTGATGCTGGAAGCTTTGCCACTGGTATTTCAAATACCAGCAGGGTCACCCTTGGTGGACAGGTTTCAGCTGAGCTTCCAGACTAAGACAGACTGTTAAAGAACCTGGAAAGGTGGGTCCTTGTCGGGTGCCCTCAGACTTGCCAATTATCTGGACAGCAGTCTCTGAGAAAGAGAAAGTAACTTTATTGCAATGCGCAGAGCAAGGAGCTGGAGGAAGTTCCTCAGATCCGGCTCCCCGAGCTATGGGTAGGCAGGGCTTGTATGTGATTCGGGCAGCAAGATGGCAGCCACACAGGTGTTCTTGGGAGGGAAAACTCTAGAAGGCAGCCAGGAAACAGGAAATGAAATGGTTCTTGCCAGACCTCTCGCTTCAAAATAGGGTCCAGGTGATGATTTTCCTTCTGATTCGTTCCTCCTGTTGCTGCATCCTCTGTTGAGGTCAATTAGTGGTCACAGCTGGCCCTTCTGCGCATGTGGTGTGGGCCAAATCCAGCTTGGGCTAGTTTAAGGACTAAGGGAAGTTTACTAGCATTATTAGGGTCAGGTTACAAGTCTAGGAAGAAGGACCTGGCAGTCTACTTCTGAAAAAATTGGCCAGTGAAAACCTTATGAATAGCAGCAGAACATTGTCTGATATAGTGCCAGAAGATGAGCCCCTCAGGTTGGAAGGCACTCAAAAGACAACTGGGGAAGAGCTGCCTCCTCAAAGTAGAGTCAACCTTAATGACATAGATGGAATCAAGCTTTCCAGACCTTCATTTGCTGATGTGTCATGACTCAAAATGAGAAGAAACAGCTGCAAACATCCACTAATAATTGGAACATGGAATGTACTAAGTATGAATCTAGGAAAATTGCAAGTCATCAAAAATGCAATGGAACACATAAACATTCATGTCCTCGGCATTAATGAGCTGAAATGGACTGGTTTGGGCCATTTTGAACCAAACAATCATATGGTCTACTATACTGGGAATGACAAATTGAAGAGGAATGGTATCGCATTCATCGTCAAAAAGACCATTTCAAGAGCTATCCTGAAGTACAACACTGTCAGTGACAGGATAATATCCATACGCCTACAAGGAAGACCAGTTAATACGACTATTATTCAAATTTACGCACCAACCACTAAGGCCAAAGATGAAGAGATTGAAGATTTTTACCAACTTCTACAGTCTGAAATTGATCAAACATGCAATTAAGATGCATTGATAATCAAGGCCCATGAAGCAGCAGTCAAGAAATCAAACAACGCATTGCATTGGGCAAATATGTGCAAAAGATCTCTTCAAAGTGTTAAAAAAACAAAGATGTCACTCTAAGGACTAAGGTGTGCCTGACCCAAGCCATGGTGTTTTCAGTATGACTACATGCATGTGAAAGCTGGACAATGAATAAGGAAGACCAAAAAAGAATTGATGCCTTTGAATTATGGTATTGGCGAAGAATATTGAATATACCATGAAGTGCCAGAAGAACAAACAAATCTGTTTTGGAAGAAGTACAGCCAGAATGCTCATTAGAAGAAAAGATGGTGAGACATCCTCTCACATACTTTGGACCTGTTATTAGGAGGATCCAGTCCCTGGAGAAGGACATCGTGCTTGGTAAGGTAGAGGGTCGTAGAAAAAGAGAAAGACCCTGAATGAGATAGAGTGACACAGTGGCTGCAATAGTGGGGTCAAGCATAACAATAACTGTGAGGATGGCACAAGACCCGGCAGTATTTCATTCCGTCGTACATAGGGTCGCTTTGACTCCAGGGCACCTAACGACAGTTCCGCCCTCTCCCGCCCCAGACCCCATATCTAGGCCCATTGCAGCTCCTCCCATCAAGATACACGGCTTATTTCTCCACCCTGTGGGTCGGGCTTTGTTACTTGCTTTGTCAGTAGAACATGGCAGCAGCAACCTTATGGGTTCCTGGCCTCAAGAGATTCGCACGCTCCTACTTGCTCTCGGAAACTTGCTTGCGCCATGCGCCCACACTCCTGCCCACAGCGGCCACCAGCCAGCCACCGAATGGGTCTCATCCTAGGCCTTCTGCTGGCAGATGCATGAGCGAGGCAGCCCAGAAGAGCTCAACAAGTCTGACCCAAATGAGCAGAGCCGCCAGCGGCAGATGGAAGCTTTGTTATACCGGGGTAGGAGACTGATTGATGCTGATCTCCAGAGTTGAGTGGTGCTGCCCATGTCCCCACCCTCCCCATCAGAGCCTCACGCTCGGGGCCCGGGTGGGTCAGGGTGGTCGCGGCCTCGGAGCTGCGGACCCAGCTCTCCGCCGCCCCAGAAAGCACCCACCCCGACGACGGACACCGGGTGAGAACTACATTTCCCATGCTGCTGGGCGGCCTGGACTACATTTCCCAGGAGCGCACGGGAGGCAGTCGGCCGCTCCTCAAGGACTCCATTTCCCAGAGTGCCGCGGGAGGTGGCCCGTCCCCGTCCTGCACCCCCTACCTGGCCGGGCGCGTGGCTGGAGACGTGGCCGGAGACGCTCCCGGCGCCGGAAGTAGGTGTAGGTGCCCGGGGCAGGTGCGGCTGAGGGCAGGTGAAACTACAAGGGGCGCAGAGGAGACCCCCTCCCGGGGGGCGTGGCAGAGCGGGTCGGCGGCTGGGCCCTGGGTGCGCAGTGGAGGCCAGGGAGCCTCGAGGGGGCCGAGGGAATGGCAGGGGGCCGGTGGACGTGGTAGGGGGGCTCTAGGCGTGGCAGAATTCCAACCTGGCCCGCAGTGGGGCCTCCCCGCCGGCCTCTGGCTAGGCTGCTAGGAACACCGGGATCTCTGGACAGGGCCTTCTCCCTACGGGGCTGGCAGCTGGGGCCAGGTAGATGGGACGGGACGGGGTTCTGGGCGGGCCCGAGCAGATAGCCGCCTTCCGGGACAGGGTCCTCGAGGGCAGGCGGCTCCCCGAGGCCTGTCCAGTACTGAGCGCGACTCGCCCGGGAGGAACAAGGCTCGCGAGGGTATTCCCGGGCCGACCGGCTGCGGGTGGGCACGGGGTTGCAAACACAGGCGCTACCCCTTCTCTTGCTGGAGCATATGGGCTTTGGCCGGGAGCAGCCCTGGTGATCTTCGCTAGGAACCCCTAGCCCCGAGGTTCTCTGCCGCCCCTGTTGTGAGCTTTACGGGGAGCAGAATGTACCCTTTCCCGGGCCGAGTGCGGGTCGTGGGTCGGGTGGGTAGGTGGAGCCTGGCAGGGCTTTCTGGGGAACAGGGCTGAGAGGAGGGGGAGATGGGCTTAGCTGGCTCTGTGTGGACCTTCCCCCCTCCCTGAGGGCCTCACCCATGCTAGCTGCCTCAGGGAGCTCAGGGACAGCCCCTGCGTGATTGCTGTGGAGCCCAGTGTTAAGGACAGGGACCCCAGTCCGAGCGTGTCAGGGAGTGGCCTCAGGTGGATGGGAGCATGATGGCTCCCACCTCACACTGTTGGGCCCTACAGGTGCGGCAGACATGGGAGAGCCCGGGGGCTCCATGCGGATTCTAGTGACAGGGGGCTCTGGGCTGGTCGGCAGAGCCATCCAGAAGGTGGTGGCAGATGGGGCAGGCCTGCCTGGAGAGGACTGGATGTTTGTCTCCTCCAAGGATGCTGATCTCACGTGAGTGAGCCCGTCCGTAAGCACCCCACCCCCAGGTCTTCTCCAGACAAGAGCCCAGCCAGCCTGGTGGCCCACATTCTCACACCAGCCAGGCACTGGACTCCGCCACCCTCCCTGCTGGCAGATCAGACCCACCACCCCCATCAGGCCTGGCCCTGCTCTTGCCCCTGTGCCCCGACCCTGGGCTGCTAGTTCCCATCAGCCTCCAAGCAACTCCTGACAGCCTGGCTCCCCTAGGGACGCGGCACAGACACGGGCCCTGTTTGAGAAGGTCCGGCCCACGCATGTCATCCATCTCGCCGCAATGGTGGGGGGCCTGTTCCGGAACATCAAGTACAATTTGGACTTCTGGGTGAGTGAGGAGGCACCCCAATGGGCACTGAGGGCCAGAGGCCCGGGCTTCTGAGAATTCCCTGGCTGGCTTCCCAGGTGTACAGGTTCCTGGTGCACCCCCAAAAATTCCTGAGGATTAGGGCTTGGCACAGCCCTGATGGGGTAGCCCCTGAGGGCCCCAGTGCTGTGGGCTGAGGGGTGGCAGATGGGCCTGAGAGTCGGCCCCACCTGTCTCTGGGCATCTGGCCTCAGCGAGGCTCAGACCAGATACTGCCCAGGGGCCCGTGTGCCCCAGAGCCCTGCCCTTCCCCTGTCTCTGCCTTCCCAACAGGCCTCTGGCCACCACCTCTCCCCTCTCTTCCAGACAGTCCAAATGCCCTGGCTATTGACTATCCGATGGCAGAGGTAGAGGTGGACAGGGAGGTGTAGGCTGGCCAAGGCCGCACTGTGACTGGGCCAAAGGGCCTGGAGTGGGCGCCTCTGGGTGGGGGGAGGGGCCCCGTCTCCCCTGCAGTAGGAGCCCCACCCCTACCCCAGGGCCCAATGGCCCCTCCTTCCACTACCTGCTTGCTCTCTGCAGCACCTTCAGGTGGGCCCCCGCCCTGAGCGGAGATGGGTGTGGGCCAGGCTATGTAAGAATGAACCACCCGGTGGGGGAGGAGGCTTTGCCTTGTCCTGGGGAGGAGTTGGGATGCACAGGCTCAGGTACTACCCGTCTGTGGGCCAGGGTGTCCCCTGGGGGAGCTCGTGAGGCCTGGGGTGCTGTGTGGAAGGGCTGAGCCCACCCTGCCCCTGCAGAGGAATAACGTGCACATCAATGACAACGTCCTGCACGCGGCCTTCGAGGTGGGCGCTCGCAAGGTGGTTTCCTGCCTGTCCACCTGCATCTTCCCTGACAAGACCACCTACCCCATTGATGAGACCATGGTGAGGGGGTGGGGCCTGGGACGTTGTGCCAACCTCAGACCGGGAAGTAGTGTTAGCTTTAAAGCGGCGGGGACTGACCTGTAGGAGGGGCTGGGGCCTGCCCTGTGGGCGGGGCTGGGAAGTAGAGCAGGGGTGGGGCCCGACCTGAGGGCCGGCGGGGAAGTAGAGCAGGGGTGGGGCCCGACCTGAGGGCCGGCGGGGAAGTAGAGCTAGCCTTCGGGCTGGGTTGGACCAGCAGCCGGAGAAGCTGTGCAGCCTCAGGGCATACCCTGCTCCCCTAGATCCACAACGGCCCCCCCCACAGCAGCAATTTTGGCTACTCGTATGCCAAGAGGATGATCGACGTGCAGAACAGGTTCTCTGGTGCCCGCCCTCCTGAGACCTGCGTGGGGGCGGAAGGCTCTCGGGGGCCCCAGGATTGGACGGGACAGGCTGGGTGGGACTCCCCGGCACAGGGACTCCCCTCTGCTGCCTCGTTTCCCCCTCCTTGTTGGTCTGTTTTCTGTCTGTAGGAGGCCAGGGGCGGGTGGGGTGCTGTGGGCTGTCCCAGGACGGGGGAGGGAGTAGCCTGCTTTGTCTCCGCAGGGCCTACTTCCAGCAGTACGGCCGAACCTTCACCGCAGTCATCCCCACCAATGTCTTCGGGCCCCATGACAACTTCAACATCGAGGACGGCCACGTGCTGCCCGGCCTCATCCACAAGGTGCACCTGGCCAAGAGTGAGTGCTGGCTGACCAGTGTGCCCATGCAGATGCGGTTTACATGAGGATGGGGTCCCGGGGACTTGGGGGTGGTGGTAGTGGGAGCGTCGGGCACAGTGGCCCTGCTGACACCCGCCCCTCCCACATCTGCAGGCAGCGGCTCCGCGCTGACGGTGTGGGGCACGGGGAAGCCGCGGAGGCAGTTCATCTACTCACTGGTTCGTGTGTGGGGGCGGGCACAGCTCTCACCGAATGCCCTGCGCGGCCCTGCCCCGCTGCCCTCGGCCAGCTAACACGCCCCCCACGCTTCCTGTCTCCCCGTGGTGGGGCTGGGGGTGGGCCTGGCACGAGTGAGCCAGGGATGTGGGGTCACGGGTGCAGGAGGAGCCACCTCTGGTCGTCGCTGGGTCCCCGTAGGCCCCGGGCGTTGAGGGTGCAGCTCTGAGTCCAGGCAGAGAAAAGGCCCGGCCGGTGGCGTCGGAGCTGGCCGAGGGCCACCCAGCGGGAGCAGGGGGGCAGTGTGGGCTCCTCGGCGGGGGCGTTTGGAAACGCTGCCTCCAGCGGGCCTCCAGCTGGGGCTCTGACCTCGCCTGCCCGGCGCCTAGGACCTGGCCCGGCTCTTCCTGTGGGTCCTCCGCGAGTACAGCGAGGTGGAGCCCGTCATCCTGTCAGGTGCCGCTCGGCCCGCCCCGCCGCAGCCCTGCCCCCCCAGAACCCGGTGAGGGGCGAGGTGGGGGGGGGTGGGCAGGCATCCCTGCCCAAGCTGAGGGGCTGAGCTGGCCTTTGGCGCCCCCGCTCCTGCAGTGGGCGAGGAGGAGGAGGTGTCCATCAAGGAGGCGGCCGAGGCTGTGGCAGAAGCTATGGACTTCCACGGGGAGGTCATCGTATCCTGTGGGGGAGGTGGCGCGGTGGGGGGGCGGGGTCTGCCTGGGGGGAGAGGAGGCAACCAGTGCCTGGTGGCTCAAGGGGCAGAGGTGGAGGAGGGTGGGGATGGGGGCGCCTTCCCCTGTGGCCTTGACCAGACGCCCAGTTTGATACAACCAAGTCGGACGGGCAGTTTAAGAAGACTGCCAGTAACGGCAAGCTGCGGACCTACCTGCCAGACTGTCAGTTCACGCCCTTCAAGCAGGGTGAGGCCCCGCCCTGGCGGGGGTGCGCTGTCGGTCAAGGCCCCCATCCTTCCGCATCTCCCAGCCCCCGCCCTCCCCACGCCTCGGCTTCCTGATGTGTCAGGGGCTAGGCATCCTCAGAGCTTGGACCTTGGGGCACTTGGTCAGAGCCGGGGAGGCAGGGACCCCGAGGCTGGGAGGGGTGACTCCCATGATGTCCCTGGGCCCCCCCCACCCTCCCACCTCCTCCAGTAGGGGTCACCCCGCCTCCGTCACCTACCACCCGACAGCCGTAAAGGAGACTTGCACTTGGTTCACCGACAACTACGAGCAGGCCCGGAAGTGACGCAGGTGGGCGGAGCAGCACTGGCTCCTCCCCAGGCCCGGTGGTGACCGCCACCCTGCCAGGAGCCAAGGGCCTGCCCGGCAACGCGAGCTCACATGCCACCCCCGATGGCCAGCTCCTGGCACCTGTCCAGGGAGACCATCCGTTCATGTCCATCCTCAGGGAAACCAAGGCCTGGCCAGGGCCTGGTACCTCGCTCCTTCACACTGGTTCCTGCATCCCGGTCTCTCTACTTCTGACATTGCTGTCCCATTGCCTGGGAGCAATAAAGTACATTTTGTTTTCACAGCTCTGTGCCAGCAGTCCCCCACGCCGCAGGCGCAGCCTCCCCCAGCCCGCAGGCCCCAGCTCCCTGCTCACTGCTCAGCCGCTGAGAGCTGCTGAGGGTCAGCCTGGGCCTGCCTGGGGACAGGGGCCAACTGGATCTAGATGGAAAGGTGGAGGTTGTGTGTGCAGTGGGCAGCAGGCAGGCGGGGGAAGTGCACGGAGCCGCTGCGGGGCAGACAGGCATGGACTGGGAAAGACGACTGCAGAGTCCTCTGAGGAGGAAGCGAGGGCGGGGCATGTTTCCAGGCAGTGCCTGCTGGGCTTGGCGGGAGGGCGCATTGGAGACGCACCTGACCTTGGCCACAGCCTGCTATCTCCACACGTGGCCGTGTGCAGGCCTGGCTAGCCTGAGCCCAGCTGGGGCTCTCTCAGACCTCAGCCCTGAGGACTTTGTGAGAAGGGGCTAGTCTGAATTTGGGCAGGCCACCCGGGGACACAACGTATAAATCGGGTGTGGGTGGTGATTGAGTGGTCACCTCTCAATTAGGACCTTACCCAGTCAGTCTCTGGATGGCCCCCAGGCCTGCCAAGCACCACCGTCTGCTCCAGGACGAGCAGGAGGATCCACGCCTTAAGCACAGGAGGTCCTGCCACTCTAGAGTTCACCAGCTCCTGGCCAGTCCTCCCCTAGAGGCCCAGCCTCACTGTGGCCTCTCACGCCTCCTCCCTGCAGCTCCTGGGGAACCCACAGACACCAGAATGGGGCTGGTCTAGGAGCTTCAATACAGAGAAATGGCTCCAGGCGAGGGAACCCCACCCTACCACTCAGGTTCCAAACTGACAACAGGCATTCGGAAAAGGCTGCCCCCACCCAGAGAAATCCGTCTAATCCAGACCGGCATTCACCAGGGCAGACACTTGGCAGCGCAAGAGCTCCCTCCTGAAAGCTCAAATGCCGGGCGGCGATCAGTGGCCTTAGGGTTCTGCAGTCCCCTCGCGAGGAGCACCGTCATGTGCTCCCTCCGGGAGACAGGCCTCTGGGGGCTTGGATTGGCCCCCCTCCACTCTGGCCGCTGACCCCTGCACACACGCACTGAACTCCACTCGCACACGCCCGAGTCCTGCCGCGGCGCCCCGTCGCCCGCTGCAGAGGACCAGGTGTTCAGTCCGCCGTTCCCTTTGCCACCCGGGCGCCGCCAGGCTTTCCCAGCCCCTGGCGGCGCCCGGCCCCGCCCCCGCCGGCACGCCCCGCCCCGGAACGCCTGGTCGCCCGGCAGTGATTTCTCTCAGCCTATGGGCGGTGGGAAACGCTGGTGGCGCAGTGGTTAAGAGCTTGGCTGCTAACCAGAAGGTCGGCAGTTCAAATCCACCAGCCGCTCCTTGGAAACCCCATGGGGCAGTTCTACTGTGTCCCACAGGGTCGCTATGGGTCGGAATCGACTTGACGGAAACGGGTTTGGGTTTTTTTGTTCAGTGGGCGGTGAGGGGCGGGACTAGGCCGATCCACGCTTTTCGGACCAGTGAGCAACGAGGGGGCGGGGCCCACTGCTTTGCCGCCCCGAAGAGGGCGGACAGGGAGACGGGAAGGAAGGGGGCGGAGCGGGGGATCCCAGCAGCCAATCGACGAAGAAAGGGACGGGGCGGTATGGCCCATTGGTGGGACAGAGGCGTGGGGGCGGGCTCGACCTGGGCGGCGAGATGGCGGCGGCAGAGGGTCTGGCCCCGTGGCGCGTTGGCTTCGTGGGCGCAGGTCGCATGGCGGAGGCCATCGCGCGAGGCCTCGTCCGAGCAGGTGGGCGCCGGCCGCGTAGCGCAGGGTCTTCAGCCTGCGTCTCCTGGGGGCGGAGGGCCGCCGGCGGGATGACCCTCCACTGGGATAGGGCGGGTGCCGAGCTCTAGGCGGACTCGCACCCTGGGTCCCAGGAAACGCTCGTTCCTCCCTGAGAGCGCAGCAGGCGGGTGCGTGGAAAGGCAGAGGTAGCCGCGAGCCACGCGTGGCTGTTGAGCGCTTGCAATGGGGCCGGTCCGGATTGGGACGTGCGCTGTGTGTAAAATACACGCCAGATTGGAAAACTGAGTGAAGTCTCAGATGAAGGCTGTGAGGTCGGTAGCCTCACCTGCCTCTCATGGTTAGCCATCCAGAAGTCTCACCCCGTCTCCCAGCCCCGTGCCCCACAAAAGCAGATGATTTCTACCAAGTGGACAGCCTTGGTAGCCTCTGCTTGGACAGCCCAGCACATACTGTCCCTGTCCAGAGGCAGCGTGGCCCCATTGGGCCTTCCTTGGATGTCATCTGTCTCCGCAGCCACCTCGCCACACCCTCATACCTGGGGCAGTTTCCTAGGGCGGCTCCTGGGGCTACTTGCTCAAGAGCCTAAGTGCTCCAGACAGCCTTCCTTCCCCGGAGGTAAGAGTCCCAGAGATCTCATGCACCCTCAGGGGAGGAGACCAGCTCTGGGTGTGCTTCATCTTTGCACCCACCCTTCAGTGTCCAGCAGCAGCAGGCAGGTAGCAGTGCTTGCCCAGTACAATCGAATGGGTTAGATTGCCCCACCCCAGGTGGACGGAGCATGCCCACTGGATGCTTTGGGTTACTGCGCAGTCAGGCCAGCTGGGGACCAGGGAGAGACCCTCCAATAAGGGGCAGGCCAGGCTGGTCCTCCTCTTCTTCCTCCTGCGCCTCCCTCCTTACTGCCTCTCTGCCTTTGCCCCTCTCTGCAGGAAAGGTGGAAGCTCAGAATGTGCTGGCCAGCGCACCGAGCAACAGGAACCTCTGCCGCTTCCAGGTGAGCTGTGGGCCAGGCTCTGTGCAGAGTGGGGCTCCTCTCACGGGGTCCAGATGGGTGCTTCTTGGCTCCTGTTCCTCAGATGCTTCCCAGGGCCAGGAAGTGCTGCTTATTCAGCTGAAACTTGAGGACTGTCCACTGGGCTGGGAAAGTGGGGGTCAGAGACCAGGACAGGGTAAAGGGTGTGTGTGTGTGTGTGTGTGTGTGTGTGTGTGTGTGTGTGTGTGTGTGTGTGTGTGTGTGTGT